AGAACAAACTATTATGTTTAGAAATGTGTTAAAAAAATATATTTTTTCCATTAAACAGAAATTAGGGGGGAAAGTATACAGGGGGCTCATAATTCATAACAATTCTGACTTCAACTGCACATATATAATATATTCACAAAATGAACTAAAATGTAAAAACATCATTTAAGGAAATACAATTTAGTAGTTTACATTTAAATGTTTAGATTAGAACATAAAAACAGCATCCAAACTAATGCATATTGACCAATAAAATTCCTTGAACTAATTTTCATATTTTTCCAGGCTTGTGAATCACATATTAAAACGGCTCTTGTATTTCCAGATTTTCACAGGCATCATATGAGCAGGACATGTGCATGAGATTCACCCGCTACAGTTGAGCACATGAACGTGTTCATCTAGTGTTCACGTCTTGTCACGTAGAGAGCTGAAAGTGTGTTGTTGAGAGAGCAAAAAGCTGTCAGTGCAAGAACTCAATCAAAGCTAGTGTGCGAATCCGCCAATCTGTAGTGTGTTTTCATCAAGCCAGTCACTAACTAGTGTGTGTCTGGAAAGCTACATGTGCTGAACTCGCAGTTTTCCCTTCCGTCAAAAGGGCCATTTACACGACAACATTTTCAGCCAAAAATTGGAAACTTTTGTTTGCTTATTACACAATGGTGACGTTTTAAGAACTAAAAATGCATTTTTAAAAATGTATCACCACACGCATGTCATCTTAAACGCATTAAAAAAATATTAAGAGTTTATGTGTGTGTGTGTGTGTGTGTGTGTGTGTGTGTGTGTGTGTGTAGTACGTCTTAGGTATTAAAGCAAGTGCAGTATGTGTCGATTTTAGAGACAAGCAAGCGTTAACAAGCATACAAAGCAATGGCAGAGTATGGTAGTAGTGGCAAAAGTAGATCTTACGGCAAATTGTAACGTTTTGATTTAGTGGTTAAATCGTATTTATTTAAACGTTATCATTCATACATTTTAGTACAATCTCCTCATCCCCCAATGAGAGGGCTGGGGTTTGGGCCATTACATTTGAATAAAATCGTATAAGTTTGTACAATATTCGTACAACACGTTAGTCAATCGTACTGATTCATATAATATTTGTACAATACGTAAGAATATATATATAAGTTACATTTCATCTTTAGTTCAGGCTGGGTAGTGTTGCTGCTGCTCAACGGTTCTTCAACAAAGTATTTCTGCTGCATCCCGATTCACAAACAATCCATACTAAATAGTATTCGAAAATAGATTTACTTTGTCCCAAATCATTTTAATTGTGAAGATTTTTATACGTGTACATAGCACATCTTAGGAATTTAGGCAGGCGCAGTATGTGTCGATTTTACGGACAATACGTTTTTCAATCGTTTTAAGTTCTTCGAATATTTGTACAATACAAAAGGATATATATAATAGTTACTTTTCCTCGTTAGTTCGGGCTGGTTAGTGTTGTTGCTGCTCAACGGTTCATCAGCAAAGTTTATATTTATTTCTGCTGCATCCCAATTTGGATGCGATGTTGCTTGGAGCCACGCCTTCTTTTAAAAACCATATGCTTTCATTTAAAAGATTGTACAATATTTGTACAAAACTTTAAATAGTTTTCTGGGTTGTGTTGTTGCTGCTAAATGGGTCTTTAGCAAAGTGTTTATTTTCACAATTCAAATAGTTTACATATTAAGTAGTATTCGAAAATAGAATTACTATGTCCCAAATCATAGTATGTTGAGATGAGTATTTCCGAACACTGAATTACGAATCTGAATTCCAAAGTATAGATCCATGCGTTCTTTTACAGCTAATATTTCCCACAGGACACTGCGTGTTTTTTATGATTCCCACATTATATTTAATCTGCAACAATGTAACTTTTACGAAGATGCGCTTTGCTATTAACTTCTGAATAGCTACGTATGAAAACACCTGGGGAGATTTTTCTACATAAAAGACACGTGCTAGGCAGATTAACCTGCGGCTGCATCTCCAATATGATAGGAAATTACACATCAATGGAATGGGCATGATGGGACAAGATGATTGACAGGGAATGTTGCTAAGCAACAGAACAATCAGTTAATGAGTAAGTATAGAGTCTCTAAACTTGAATATTCTTCCGTTACACATTTATTTTAAAATAGTACATACTTTAAGGATGTGGTATAAGTAGGTGAACTGGGATGCAGCATTCACAATATACCAGCACAATCTCACGGCAATTCGTAACTTTTTGATTTAGTGGCTAACTCGTACAATCTCATTCATATAATTTAGTACGATTTGCTTATCCCACAATAATGGATGGGTTTAGGGGGCGGGGTTGGGTGCCACGCCTTATTTTTAAAATCATACATTTTCGTATGACTGAATTCATATAAATTTGTACGAATTAGCCACTGATCTGACAAAACGTAAAATAGTTACGTTTCCTCGTGAGACCAGGTTAAATATATATATATATATATATATATATATATATATATATATATATATATATATATATATATATATATATATATGGTAAATTATAAATACACACATCAGCAACTAGTGTTTAAAAGGCGTTTTTGGATGTGTTTTGCTGTACGCTCATGAATTCCCATCCACACTAATCATTAATTCCCTACAGGTGCTGTTAACAAATAAGGTGACAGCGCCAACTTCTGGCCTGGCATATATATAGTAGCAGTATTTTTGGCAGTTTTCGTAGATATGTGCTAACATGAATAGGTTTAAAAAATGTTGAAAAATACAAAGAAAACACTTCCATTTTTGACTATATAGTTGTCGTGTAAACGTAGCCTAAACCAGAGCACTCAAGGCAGCTGAGGTCATTCTCGTCCACTATTCAACTACTTCTGCTTTTATATTTGGTGCTGGCCACGAATGACCACTAATTCTGTTATTTACAGTACAGATAAATAACACTTTTCTCACTCTGGAGTTCTCGATGATAAATACATACATATACAGTATATATATACCTCACACACAGGACACGTCACGTCAAGATACACATCATCAACACCTCACAGGACGGCACTGGTTTTCCATCCATAGTATATAAGAAATAAAACAAAACGAGAGAGTATAGTTTGCTCTCACGAGATCTTGTAGTACAGCAGTTACGTGATGTGATATGAACCTGCAGGACAGTTGTAGTTTTCATACTAACAGTAACCCAGTATTCTGTCCAGGTGTTTTTCATACACATAGTGTTACAACCTGACAACACAACACGACATTCAGAGTGAATGAATAACAAGTCGGAATCAGCGCAGAACGACATCCACAGCTGATGAGCTAATAATGAGTCGCACCGTAATGCGGCGCAATTAAGGGAACGTCACGTGGGGGCAATTTGCCGCTGCTCAGGCAGTCTTGTTTTTCTTCTTTCTTTAATATTGTTGATTGATTGCAGTCTTTAAGTCTGGCATTCATTTACAATATATAGGATTTCAGCATCGCATGAGTTGCGGCAAGCTTCCAACCCTAAAACACATCCCAGAAGGCACTTACATCAACTAAACAAAGCAGACTTTTTTTTTGATTTGGGATATTGAGAACATGTGGATTGATGGTATCGTTCTTTTCCAAACATTGCTGGGTAAGCAGGTTATATTTCACTATAAAATGTTATATCAATAGTAAGGGACCTATTTTGCACAAAGGAATTCTTATATCAACAAGCAAACAAATATACATATACATGTTTTGATCAGCTTCAAATATATATATGTATATATATATATATATATATGTATATATATATATATATATATATATATATATATATATATATATATATATATATATGTATATGTATATGTGTATATATATATATATATATATATATATATATATACATACATATACTTACATACACACACATAAATACATATATATATACATATACATTTATATACATATACATATATATACACATATACACACATATATATATATATTTGAAGCTGATCAAAACATCAAACTTGTCCTAAAACTACTGAATCACACCCATTCTTGTCTTAGGCTGCATTTACACTGCATGGTTCAAGTGACTCAATTGCGATTCTTTTCTTCCATGTGGCACAGATCGGGTATGGCTCATGCACGTGTAAGCAGGAAAAAAATCACATGGATTCCGATTTACTCGAATCAAATTCAAGCCTTGTTAATATGTGGAAATTTATCTGATATGAATCGGATCTGGGTCCAAATTTCACCTGCAAATGCGAGTCGCGCAAGTCTGATACTTTCATTTCAGAACAGACTTCAGCAGAGTCCCAAACCCAAGTACCAATCTCATACACTAGGACTAAAAAGCTTTTATATTGTCATGTAGCACAAGTATTTAAGCATGTTAACGTGAGCGAGAGATCGCAATATCCGTCAAGTAACCAATTTAAGCAAATATAAAACTAGTGCATACATCACATGCATAAATCACGCTATGACCATTACATTAAAATGCGTACTGGTTTAAAAAGGCCTAGATTAAAAGAAGATGGCTAAATGAGAACTTTTCTGTCATACACTATAGTAAAACAGCCGGTCAAAAAGACATAAAAAAAATTAAAAACCCTACAAACAAATTAAATACAAGAACAGAGAAAGGAGGGCTCTTTTATTATCAGCTGTCAGTCAGCGCCCGCACTTTTTTCCCTGGTCATTGCGTTTTTGCCATGTGCTGTGTAAATACAGACAATCTGATCCGAGTCACTTTTAAAAGATGATGTAAGCTGGTCAATAAATCGGATAAATCGGATACAGTCACAAAATCGGAATTGACCATCAAGATCTGCAGTGTAAAATCAGCCTAACTCCAAGGCCCAATGCCAAGTCTATTTTTTTACCCCTACCCATTCTCCTTGGCCCTTGAAACAGTGTGAGGAAGGGCTTCAAATTTTTCCCGTAAGAAATGGGACACCACTACAACACCTGCACACCTCATCATATGTCATCATATGTTCAATTGACGATTGCGACAGCTGTAGTTAATCCAGTTGTGTTATTTTTTGGCATTTATCTTCAGAAAATCACAGAAGGTAATGATAACATGTTTTCATAACGATCTAATATGGCAATAAGCTCGTAAATGTGCTGTGTATTACTACCATGGCCATATTCATCTATGTAAACACACGAAAACAACATTAACATTATAGCAGACACTGTAAAAAGGGCATTCCCAGCCAATAGACTTTACTGACAGGGTATTCGTGTGTCATCGAGTGTTGGATGTGAAGTATGTTGTGGGACGACTATACAGGAGTTATTACTATGGATTACTGATAGTGAAATTTATCATTTTTTTAGCGTTTTTTAAAGCATGGCAGTAAAACACATGTGACTATATTAAAACATATGTTTGTTTGTTGTAAAAAATGTGTAAAAATTTGAAAAATACTAAATTGTGCATCTTCTTACTTCCGTGTGCAGCCAAGCTGTCAATGTAGCTTGTGTATTCTGGAATACCCATTGATTTCAAGAGTGGTCCCGAAAAATCTCAGTTTCAAGGGCTATTTAGCCCTCCCCCTTGGGCCTACGCCTTCAAGCTAAAAAAGAATTGGGACACTGCAACCCCTTCACGTGACACACAAATTGAGGGGTAGGGGAAGGGAGAGGGCCAAGGGCCTAGAATTGGGATTGGGCCTTAATCTTGACTAAATAACAACCATACTTTGTCTTAACTTTGAAAACCATTTTTTAACCCAGTTCAAACGTTGACAGCAGTTTATATAAATATATATATGGGTCAAAGATGTGATTTGTCCAATCAAATAAAGTAATTGTTAATAGATATATTGTATATTGGTCTTAAACCAACATGTTTATATCTATCTGTTTTGATTCTGTAAGAAAATGCAACCTAGACATATTTCTGATTTCACTAATTAGTTCTTATGTAGCCTTGGGATTGTGCAAATGAGAACATGGCATGACTATCTAATCTTCAATACTAATATTCTATAGCAACATTCAGTAAACAAAAATACTGTTATAACACTAATACTAAGAGTTGCGAAAACTTGATTTGGCAGCATTTGTCTTCTTGAGTCTTAAACGAATCGATTGTTCTCATCCATCACTTCGGTATAGTACCTCACAACACATCACAGGTCTCTCTGAAAGCATCAATCTGCCTGACATTGACTCCAGTTCCGACTAAACAGGTGACGTTAATACCTTAATAACACTATGCACTGACAAATTAAGCTTCCCTTTTTCTCTTTCGGCATCTTCATTTCGTCTGAGTTATCAGTTTGAACATTTCAAGGCCTGAGCAGCTCTCAGAAAAGTAGCTTCGCCATCCTTATTTTTCAGTGCAGTGATGCAACTTGAAGAGCTTTAGGGAGGGAGCGGGGGGAAATTAACAGCCTTGCAAGTCTGCAGCGTGGGTGAACACTGTTGGCTACAGTAACTACTGCCTTTACAGTCACTGGGTCCAGATAGCATAATCTCCAAATTACTCATGCTATATCTGCTTTGCTGGATATGGAGTTCTCTCTCGGTAGTGTCGCATGGGTGAGTGTGTTGCTCCTTTGTCATTATCAGTCTAACCTTCCTCCACCGAAGCCTCGATGCTGTGAAACCAAGGATGAATGAGTCACGGCTCAAAGTAATTCAAAGCACCGCCGAAGCATCCATACAGGCTGAATGCTATTATGCAAAACACGCACTCGCCCGACATCCGAGGACAAATGAATCCACATCTGGACACACACTGTTATGGTTACCCACAAACTGTCTTTGTTTGTCGTCAAAATAAAATAAAAAAAACGGTTGGTTTGTGCGAGAGGCTTGGAAATAAACTGCTGACCCACTCTAGTTAGGACACGGTGAAGCAAGTGGCCTAATCTTGCTGCCGAACATACGGCGAGAGCGCTTCGTCCCTTGACCTTTTTTCACAGCTGGCATCTTTTCAAGACTGTGGACTCCGCTGAACCTGGCAGCATATGCCGCCTGGCTTATCGCTCCCCCGCCGGGATCCATCCAAATAATCCAGCACTCAAAGGCACATCACTTGCGTTTCTCTCAAACGGCGATCTACGATGTGCATTAATCGACTTAATCTGTTTTAGCCAAGTTAGTCGACAACACAATAGATTTCCTTCTGGAAAGAGTCATGCTAATGCGAGAGGCTGAAGTTGAGCTGTGGGCGTTTGGTGTGCTCCTGTCTGCAGTTTTCAGATGTTGCGTTTTACGGTCTTGATATAACTGGATTAATCAGGACGGGGGAAAACACAAGCATCCGCCCAAAGATGCACTACACGGCTAATGCACAGCCTTCTGAATTAAACATGGCCTGGAAGAAACCATTCCGCAGAGGTTGACAGGAAAGAATGAAGAAAACATTATTACACCTCTGCCTAGAGCCCCTCGAGTCATTCAGAAAATTCCTTTAGTGTAACAAGACAACCGATTAATGAACGAGAGCTAAAAAAAAAATGGTGGGGGGAAAGTTAAAAGCGTTCCCAGCTGGAGTTGATCGGCGGCACAGATGAGTGACCCAGATGCTGGAACGATGGTTGCGTTTGCTGTTTTCGGTTTTGCAAACAAAACATCCAGCTGTTCTTGAAAACGACATTCGATAAAAGACGCAGTATGCAACCTGGCGATAGCAGCCTCAGCTTCTGGGTCACAGCTTGCTGAGCCACTCGCGCGAAAGTAGCATTGACAACCCTTGTATGGGTAATCACAAGGCTTTCTGTGCACTTCAAAGGGCCTGCTTGAGAATTGAGCGCATGGGAGTGAATGAAATATGAATTCTGGGTGTTAACAACAGATCACACGACAATCGATGCAACCTCTTATTTTCAGTCAGTGTTTTGCATTAAAAGTGAGCATTGTGAGGTGAGCAGCTAGTTGAGTTTTCTGCTTGATAATGAGTGCTTTTGTCCAAAGATTTGACGTTAATCGTTCTGCTTTCGCTCCTCGGGTGGCACGTTTCAGTCTTTGCTTTAAAAGATCAAGTAACTATGAGTCCGGCGTAGATGTCTCTAGTCCTCTAGACGTAGATGGCAGTCCGGGAGATGATCGACCCATCTCGCTGAGACTCCATGTCGTCATCCAGGTAAGGTGCACACTCATCCTCGTGCCGGTGGATTTGGTAGCTTGGTGGAAGTCCGCTGAAACGGTCGTACCTCTCATCTTCTTCTTCGTCCTCCAGACTATCATTCATGGCCTCAAACTTCCGGCGTTCAGCCTCGTTGAGGTCTCCACTCAGCAGGATGTCGTGAGCAGTTGGTGTGCTGGAGGTCATGTGCGGGAACTCGTTGCATTTCTCCGTCAAGGCTCCGGGATCACTTTCCCGATAGGTATAGATTGGTCCGTTGTTGTTGGCCCCTGCTCCATTCTTGCTAGACTTCTTGCCTCCGAAAAGGCGGGTTTTGTTGCCGTAAACGCTCTGTTCACCATCAGCAGAATATCCATGCTGCTGACGACGACTTCGCATGATTAAGACGGTGACCAACGCGCCGACCAAAACGAGGGCCAAGAAGCTCCCCAGGATTGCTCCCGCCACCACGCCTGCACTGGACGGGTCTTCAGTCGACTCTGCACAAATGAGGGGCACAAATGAAGAACGTTCTGCTCGATGGTGGTAGCTATTCTTCACCATACGTTGTAGTAGTGGTGTGCGATTTGGTTTAGACTGTGAAACGCTTTTTTTTTTTTGGCTGCCCCCAGTTCCCAGCTACAAGTCCTATGGTGTGAGCCAAGTTTGCCCCGGATCCGGTTCTCGATTCGAGAAAACAACACGTTCCGTCTATTCTCGGGAGCTGACCGGGTGAAATTACACTACACAAGTGGAGAGTAAGAAAGAGAAACACACAGATGGAGAAGGGATGTAAAAGACTTTGTTACAGTATGGTCATGCAAAGAGGAAGAATCGTAAGTTAAACTGTAAGTTACACTGGGAATGCAACTAAGTGGTCAGTTTGCATATTCCCAATAAATTCCCGGGAATACGTCCAAGTCACAAACACTAAAGCAACACCTGCTTCAGAAAGGATTAGCCCCATTTCATGCTGAAGCCCACAGGGCCTGCATGAAACGCACAGTGTACACAGGAAGTGATGTCTATATTTGTATAAATATAGTGCTGGTGTAGTCAAAAAAAAGTAATTATGTTTACAGTCTAATTTAATCAAAAGTTTTCTACCCTAGCCTGTTTGTTCAACTTTAAAAAAAAAAGCTACAGTGCCTCTCAAGTCCACAACATTGATTTTGGCTACATTACTGTATTACACAGGTCAATATATTAAAAATGCTGGTGCTACAGCTAAACTAATAAATATGCAACACAACAGAATTATGCAAAAGTGCTTGAGTTTGAGGTTTTGTAAGAAGCTGAAATAGATTAAAATTATGCACCCAGCTCACTGAAATACAAGCCAGATCTTTTGCATTTTCTGGATAAACCTGGTGGTGCTTGACAGTGTAAAGCTTTTTGCTACAATGCAAAGGTGCACTGTCAGAAATAAAGGATCTGTCACCGGGGTTGTACCTTTTCAAAACGTACAAATTTGTACCTAAAAGGTCCATATTAATACCTCAAGGGTATATATTAGTGCCTAAAAAGTACAAAAGTGTTGTTTTTAAAAGTTTTAGGTACTAATATGTACCCTTGAGGTATTAATTTGGACCTTTTAGGTACAAATTTGTACCTTTCGAAAAGGTACCACCCCGGTGTCAGATCGCGTATCTTTATTTCTGAGAGTGTGTTGTTGGTGCCAAGTGGTGACTTAATAGGATAGTTCAACCAAAAATAAATGTTCTGTCATTATTTTCTTACCCCTGACTTGTTTAAATCCAGTTTTTTTGTGTTCTGTTGATATTTTTGGAGAGTGCTGGAAACTTGTAACCCCTGACTTCCATAGTGTTTTCCATTTCCACAGCTGATTTCCAGTGCTTTTCTTTCACGTTACATTTAAGATAATGCTATCTAAATGAAGTCTCTTATCTCTATCAATTAGGGCTCATGAAACATCAAGTTTACCAATTTACACATAATGAGTGTTACAAGAAAACAAAACAGCTCCTACAAACAAGATTGATAGTGAATCTATAGCAACAGTTCCATTTGGTTTTCCTTCTATGGAAGTCAGTGGATACAGGTCTACAACATCCATCTTCAAACATCCATCTTCAATATATATATATATATATATATATATATATATATATATATATATATATATGGTTTGGATGGTATAAATGATGCCAGTATTCATTTTAGGCGTACTACCTCTTTAAAAAGCTTTTAAATGCATTATGTATTTCTCAAGATGCCCATTTTGAGAAAACATACTATAATTATGTCCATACAGTATCAAGAATCTGAAATAATAACAAGAGATCATTTAAAAACATGTAGGGTTTACTGAAATAACTAAAAAATATTCAATGGTTAAAGATACATTCATTAAATATGGCCTATGTATTGGGAAAACGGCATTACTTTTAATCACTCAGCAACTCTTTCTGTATGTTTCATTGGCACACCAACAAGTAACTGTTATTATGGACAAGTCAATGAATCAATCATGATACTGATTCATTTAATCTCTCAGCAACTCCTGTATGCTTGATCAAAACACAAATGAGTAATGACTGCTTTTACAAGGGAGTCGATGAATAATTTACTCCAGTAAAAAGATTAATCATTTAAAAACAACACCACTGTGTTTCTGTCTGACCTAAAGCGATAGTTCACCCAAAAATGAAAATCACTTCATTATGTCTCTCTCGTGTGGTTTTAAACATGTACGAGTTTCTTTCTTCTGTTGAATACAAAAGACATTTTGAAAAATGCTCGTTGCTAGCAAGTCAATAGTCGCAAGCTACCAGCATTCTTCAAAATATCTTCTCTTGTTTTCAACCGAAGAAAAAAATTCATACAAGTGAATGAGTCAATGATGACAGCGCTTAAAGGATTTAAGTGAACTACCCATTTAATCTACAGGCTTTGTTTCAAATTGTTGAGGCAACTAAACAGACCGACTATATAATTATTGTTTAAAATGTAAGTTACCCCAGAACAAAATTTAGTTTCATTTGTCAGTCTACAAGCATGAAGGTTAATACTGTTAATCTAGATATAGAAAGCTACTATAAACACAGTTGAAGGGCCCTATGATACACCCGGCGCAATGCGGAGCAAGGTGCGACGCAATTGCTGTTTGCTAGTTTCAGCTCAACGCAAGAGTAATTTTTACGTTTTGCATCATGCTGTTTAAATAACAAATGCATTTGCGCTCGTATGTGCGCCCATAGGCATTCTGGTCTAAAAAAGGAGGTGTGTTAAGGCGCATTGCTTGCACATTGCTATTTTGAGGAACTAAAATACACTGTTCAATAGACTAGCTTAGAGGAGGTCTAAAGTCCAGCGCAGAGTGTGTTAGTTGTCCGCCTCGCTTAAACAATGCTTAATACACAGGATATACAGTAATATGCAAATGTCTTTACAAATGAAAAAGAATTAAAGGATTAAAATATTACAAAAATTATTATTTTCTAGGCTACATAAATATAAAAACCACTGTCTCCATCCCTTCTTTATCTCTGGGGGCTTTTTTAGTTTATTCATAACAATTTGCTTCTGTATAATGAGTAAATAACGTATAATGTAATTATGATTAGTATTATTTATTATATGCATATTTAAATTTTTGTTTGATTAAAAACAAGCTTAGATTTGCCCACCTGTCAGGTTTTAGACCATATGGGGTGCAGCATATGTATTTGGAAATAACTCAGTTTTTGACTACACTTCATTATTATTGTTCATTTATTCGTTTTCAGGAAATTAGAACTGAATTTACAAATAGTTCTGAAACAAATCTTTGTGTTTAAAAAACAAAATTAATTATGCATAAGCTAATGAATGTCTGTGTGTACAACACTTTTCCCTATCCACGAGAGTGAAAGCGAAAGTAAAGAATGAGGAGGCTCATCTCTCATTCTCGTGCTGTACAGTAGATGCTCTGTTTAACTGTTTTCTTGCTAGTGAAGTGTTCAGTTTTTCCGATTACAAAGTCTGCCATGTAAATAGCAAATGAGCCAATGTGCGGAGCAACTAACTCTTAAAGGGAATGCGTGATGAAACTCTGATTGGTTTATTCTCGAAACACACCTATAGCTCAATAAGAGAATAAGCTCAACCCTGTTAGACCATGCGCCATGGCGCAAAGCATATATATATATTTTTTTGGTCCTTAAAATAGCAAAAGTGGCACTTTGGACTTTGCGCATGGATCGTCAAAATAGAGCCTGAAGTCGAAACTATTATCCCCCTAAGAATTTTTTTCTTTTTTTTTTATATTTCCCAAATAATGTTTAACAGAGCAAGGAATTTTTCACAGTATGTCTGATAATATTTTTTCTTCAAAAAAAAGTCTTTTTTATTTTATTTCGGCTAGAATAAAAGCAGTTAAAAAAACATTTTAAGGTTAAAATGATTAGCCCTTCAAGCTACATATTTTTTTGATAGTCTACAGAACAAACCATCGTTATACAATACATTGCCTAAATACCCTAACATCCCTAGTTAACCTAATTAACCTAGTTAAGCCTTTAAATGTCACTTTAAGCTGTATGGAAGTGTCTTGAAAAATATCTAGTAAAATATTATTTAATGTCAACATGGCAAAGATAAAATAAATCAGTTATTAGAAATTAGTTATAAAAAAAAAAGAAATAAAGACTGATTAAAAAAATAAACTGGCCAACGTTAACTTGTTTATTTCATAAACGCATTTCACAACCTTTACCCTTGGTCGGAATATAAATATGAAGGTTAAAAAAACAGTGACCTTAGATCAAGCAAACAGCACCACAAAAAAATAAGCTGCGGATTTCTAGGATGTTTAATTCAAAGGGCAAATACTCCTCAAACTTATGTCTCGCTCTTGGTCAAGCAATCACCAATTCCACCTCCTGCAATTTCCCCCGTTACCATGACAATTTGAATCATTATGGATTCAGGCTACTAGAAACAAGTCAAGAGGCTTTTTTTCCCGAAAAAAAAAAATCCTCTCATACTCGCTCTCCAAAAAGTACAGAGAAGCGTTTCATAAAGACGGAATATGCTTGATGAAAATATATGTGTGAACAGGCGCATGTACATTAAATTTCTTCCCACACAATTTGGATATGACTTAATATTCCTGCAATGTAACGAGCGTTCAGTCGCTCCCTCTCCTACACACATTTCTTTTTTTCCATCTCTTCTTTTTGTTCACTCCTCCGCGGGTTTGTTTTATCCCAGTCCCGGGAGATAGAGAGGTGCAAAGAGAGCTTTTTTTCTTTCTCAGGATACCCCGTTCCGTTTCACTATGCCTCTCAGTCCACTGCCATTAAAGACACTTGCTCGTATGTGAGACACACACATACACATAACATCCCCTATCTCTCTTAACCTCACTCTCCTGACGCTATCTGTGCCAGATGCCACAGCTCAGGATCCATAATTCATCAGCCTGCCAGACAGTATCCATGAACCCTACGCTCCACGACTAGCTCTGAGATTGTGAGACAAAAGACAGAGGTGGATT